GTTAGATAATATTTGGTAAATGACATTATTTGGATAATGAACGACCTGAAATGTTAGATAATATTTGGTAGATGACATTATTTGAATATAGACGACCTGAAATGTTAGATAATATTTGGTAACTGACATTATTTGAATACAAACGACCTGAAATGTTAGATAATATTTGGTAGATGACATTATTTGAATACAGACGACCTGAAATGTTAGATAATATTTGGTAAATGACATTATTTGGATAATGAACGACCTGTTTTAAGATAGGAGCTGAACGTTGAGTTTTTGGATCCTGATGACCTGAATTGTTAGATAACATTCTTTGGATACGGATAATATAATCAGAGTTAACAGGTTGGAGCTGGTACAAACGTCTTGTAATCTGAACCAGCTACAAATATACAAGGATTGAATGTACCTAATAACTTGGTAAAATGTTCTGTATTTTTTATAATACAAATCTGCCACTTCTGTCCAGGTTTAAAATAAGACAAAGAATATCAAACTTCTCTTTCATAAGGTAATTTCAAAACGTTCATTACTTTTTTATCTAAATTTGAAACCAAACTGTATCCGTTGTAAGCATTAAAGATAACTGTTCTGTGTATTTTACAGCTTTAAAATAATCAACAAAATTTTACATAAGAAGCATCTTATTCGTCAGCACGGGATCATTATGCGAAAACATTTGTCAACTGTTTTTTATGCATTACCATATTAGAATATGTTCGTCAAAATCTAAATATGCCCCCCAGTGACACAGCGGTATGTCTGCGGACTTACAACGCTAGAAACCTGGTTTCGATACCCGTGGTGGGCACAGCACAGATAGCCCATTGTGTAGCTTTGTGCTTAATTACAATCAATCAAACAAAGTCTAAATATGCAAGCCAGCTCTTTTGTTTTAAGACTAATTTATTTTCTCCGGTATTGAAATCTTTACACAATAATGAAATGGTAAACGATCATACACTGTACACAATGAACACATTTATTATAATATATAATTTATCATCGTAAAAGCATACTTCTACAGTTAACCTAACTACAGAGCAATCAGAAAATTTTGCTCGAATTTCATTCGTTCGTGATAGTTACTGCAAAACTAATAAAGAGGGTTAAATGTACGATTTACATTTGTTACCGAAGTTTCATGCAGAGTTGTGGCGCTACGAACAGTATACTTCGCACCTAAATATTAATTTCACATTGTTAGTCACAGTCTTGTTACTTTATAAAAAACCTTCGGTACTAGGGTAAAGACGTTAATTACTGTTATTCACAGTTTTATAGCCTTTAAAGAACCTTCGGTACTAGGGTAAAGACGTTAACTACTGTTATTCACAGTTTTATAGCCTTTAAAGAACCTTCGGTACTAGGGTAAAGACGTTAACTACTGTTATTCTCAGTTTTATAGCCTTTAAAGAACCTTCCGTACTAGGGTAAAGACGTTAATTACTGTTATTCACAGTTTTATAGCTTTAAAGAACCTTCGGTACTAGGGTAAAGACGTTAACTACTGTTATTCACAGTTTTATAGCTTTAAAGAACCTTCGGTACTAGGGTAAAGACGTTAATTACTGTTATTCACAGTTTTATAGCCTTTAAAGAACCTTCGGTACTAGGGTAAAGACGTTAATTACTGTTATTCACAGTCTTATAGCTTTTAAAGAACCTTCGGTACTAGGGTAAAGACGTTAATTACTGTTATTCACAGTTTTATAGCCTTTAAAGAACCTTCGGTACTAGGGTAAAGACGTTAATTACTGTTATTCACAGTTTTATAGCTTTTAATAAGCTTTATTTTAAGTTAAAACTAATTAGCTGCAGTGCTTATAAAAACAATAATTACAGAAGTCTCTGTTGCGAAACAATAATATCTAACATATTCGTCATCCGTTCTTGTAGATAGGGCAAAATATTTTTAATTTAAATAATGTGTCACGTTGAGAAATGCACATTTTGCTCATTTCGGTGTCTGATATTAAATTACATTATAATCAAGTTACACCACCTTCTTCGGATCTATGAAACGAAATCAAATAAATTTTGTGGGCGGCCTGAATGCGTTTGTTAATGTTCGACAAAAATGTTTTCACGCTGAATTTTAATAACAAATCTTGTGCATAGCGACGCCCGACAAAATTGGTTCCACCAGAGATATCCGTAAAAAATAGCGGCATATGTCACCTTTGTTACAGGATAATGTGATAACCAGTTCACAGCACCAAATTCTTATCACTTGTTTAACAGCTTTCACTTATCAAATCTTAATTAAAGGAAAATAAATGAAAATTGACAAACGTAATGGATAACCAAATTTAAATAAATTGAATTGCTTATCAGGGTCATATATGCAGGCTGTCTATATATTATGCCATTTATTTCTAAATAGCATCAACACACCCGGAGAATTATCCGATTGTCAACATCAGCCTTAAGCCTTATAACTTTGTGTTTAATCTCTACATATGGTTTGACATTTCCTGCCCTCCCATTCCTATTCTGTAAGGCATTTGCTGTTATGGCGTTCTTACTATGTCACCTTAGATAAACGAGTCATTCGATTCAAGTGAGCGTGGTTTTCTAAAGAGACACATTTTATGAATTTGACAGAAAATATAAACATGAGTCTAAGAAAAGGATCATATCGTGAGTAATAGAACGTTTCGTCCAAAACGAAACAAGCTTCTAGAAGCCTGAAGAGATAAAAATTTCTTGTTGTAAGATTCCTCGGAAATCAGTAGAGACACGCTTCCCCATCACTCTTCAGCTTTATGTTTGCATTTAGCAAGACAAAGTGAAGTATCATCTATAGAGGTTATGACGTCATAGGCCCTGGTGGAGGGGTTTTATTTAATATCCGTGAGCGGTAGAATTATAAAACATATCAAGAATAAAAAAAACAATTGCTTTGTTAAATATTTAATAAGTATTTGTAATACTTCATAAGGCTCGTTTTGTTTTTAATTGCAAGACGCTCTAATAATATTCATGACTTGTAATAGTAAAAAAAAAATCCTTTGTTTAAATAAAAATACGAAATATGTATTTGTTTTATAATAAAACTTTACTTACCAAAGTTTTTGCAAACCCATCTACCAAAAAGGGTTTGACCGGTGTACGCTACACAATTGTCACTTTTATTATGTATTATATCGGTGTAAACACCTGTAAATAATGCATACATATTTCTAGGCGATATTTTTTAAGTCATTAAAATTAGTATTTGATACGATGACAATTTTAAATTAAGCATATCGTTTGTGAATACCTTGTAAGTTTGAAAATGTTGGCTCATCCACTGAAATTAATGGGTCAGATACTGAAAAT